TTAAGTTCGACTTGCAATAAGTAAATTGGAGTCGAGATTATATTGCAATTATTCAAAGTTTGGGATAAAATTGCCAAACACAAAAAGGTTAAGGTTTATTTAACAATTAACCCTAGTAAATTTAATAATATTGATTATTGTTTACCATCTTTTTATGTTACAATCTTCTATTATTATTATTATTATTATTATTATTATTATTATCTATATATATATAATTGCTAGCTAATCATTAAATAAAACCTCATAAATAAAACCTATTTAATTTTACCTAATAAATTATACCTAATAAATACTATAACCTTCCATATAGAATGAATGTTACTTTTACAATTATGCATTATTATTGTACATTTATGATTATACATTGTAACGTTTCATTCTTTTAAATGGTATTTTCATCTTTTTATTTTCTTTTATGACATCTAATAAAAACTAATTAAAATTTAAAATAATCTATATATATAATTAGGAATTATCACAACAATAAAAATTTGCATATTCTATTTTTATTTTTTTTTTTACATAGTAGCTTGGTTTTTTACTTAATATGTAAGTATACTAATGTAGAAATTAATTGTTACGATTTTATGCACTCATTTAATAATTCTAACTTTTATTCTACATATTCATTAAATAGAATGATTACAAATTATTCTACCAAAACCCGTGGTATAAAATAAAACAATCGTTCTTATAAATGACAAATTATTGTTGCATAAGAACGTGTTTAATTTTTCAAAAAATGCATTCGTGTAAATAAAATTCATAGCCTCAAATAGCAGTAATAATAATAATAATAATAATAATAATAATAATAATTAATGTATTTTATATAAATATCATTCCCGTTATGATTATATTTATATTCCTATATATATAACTATTCACCAAAAATTTATTGCAAAAATAAAATCAACACATTTTATTAAACTAATTGTAAAAAGAAGTTGTTATATTTTTCATTAATTAATTAAATTATATATTTTATAATTACATAATA